AAACGACTCGACGGCACATAACAACACCACCACCACCACACCATGGGTAACCATTATTGCATTTGACACATCAGTGTCACAGTGTTCAGCATCACAGCAACCATGAGTTACCTCTGTACAGCAAATGGACAGACCAGTGCTATGCCACTTAGAAGAATGTTTGACCAAAAACAATTAAAACCTGCCTGAGGGCCACAGACTAAAATCATCCACCTTTGGCTTGGTAGTATCACTTTCTGTCCACTAGGCCAACTGAGCTCTCTATGTTGTTGTTGTTGTTATCATTGCTAAGTGCAAAAGAGTCATAGACAACTCACAGCAACCCTATGAATGAAAGACCTGAACACCTGTATAACTTTCATCATTTCTCCAAGTCCATAGGGTTTCCGGAGGCAAGCTATTTTGGAAGTGGATGCCACTTCTGCTTCCATGCTTGTTTAATCAGGGAGCTCCACCAAACACTGTCCACCATGGGTAACCGTTATTGCATTTGAAAGGTAGAGAATGAATAACAAAAGATGAGGAGCTGATGTATATGAATCATGGTGTTTAAAAAGAGTATTGAATATACCATGGCCTGACAGAACAACAAATGAAACTGTCTTTGAAAAAACATAGTCAGTGGCTCCTTAGAAGAGGGGATGGTAAAAATCTGTCTCACATATTTTGGACATGTGATCTAGAGGGATCGATCCTTCAGGAAGGATATAATGCTTTGTAAAGTCGAAGGTCTGTGAAAAAGAGGAAGACGTCCAACTAGATGGATTGACACAGTAGCTGCAAAACTGGGATAAAACACACAATGACTTTGAGAATGGTTCAGGACCAGGCACTGTCTAATATTGTTGCACAGAGGTTTGCTATATGAGTCATAACAAACTCATTAGCATCCAATAACAATGATAAGATTTCATATAGCACAGTCCTCTGGGCATGGGAATTACTTATGTAGTTTCTATATATCTCTCAGAAGTATGCTGTATATGCACTTTAGAAAGTAAAAAGTTAAAGATCATGTACATAGTATATGCTTTCTAAAAGTTTACATGTGGGGAATGAAGTCAGTTCTTCCTCTCACAAACCAATGAGTCCAAAGTAACCTACCTGACATAGAGGGAAATGGGTACTACAGTGTTGAGAATAATGAAGTAGGACCAGAATACAAGGATGGCAGAGACAAATGGTGAGGAGACATATTTTTCCCATGGCAGAAAAGTCTGGAAGTAGTAACCATGCTTGCTTTCCCAAATACCATGTCCAATTGCTAAGATGAAACACATGGTGGCTAAAAACAGGAAAATCTAGAAATAAAAATCAGAATTCAATTAATATTTCATCTAAACTTTATTTCTCAACAAAGCTCTTCTCTCTCCTAGAAGGTCAAGGAAGCCCTATGGTTCACAGGCTCTTTGGTGCAGGAGAGGAAGACCCCGGATAAGATGGTTTGACACAGTAACTGAGGCCATGGGGTTAGGTGTGTCAGAGTCAGTGAGATTGGCTCAGGACAGGGCAGGCTTCAGAGCTGTTGTACATAGGGTCTCTGAGTAGCAGGTGATTCGACAGCACATAACAAGAGGCAGTAGTGCATAAGGCAGGAAAGAAAGTCCAGCAGGAGCTGTTGTTGGGATGTGAAAGGAAGATAATAATAAGTAAAACCCTCAGAAGGGTCAGCAATGAGACAGCAATGAGTAATGTTGTTGTTGTTATGTGCCATTGAGTCATCTGCGACTCAGGGACCCTATGTACAACAGCCCTGAAACCTGCTCTAAACTGTGCCAACTTTACTGCATCCGACACACCTACCTTCATTACTCCAGTCACTGTATCAATCCATCTCATCGATGATCTCCCTCTCTTTCTCCATCCCTCCACCCTTCAAAGCATGATGTCCCTCTCCAAGGACCATCCCTCCATGTAATATGCCCAAAGGATGTCAGACACAGCTTCAAAATCCTTGCCTCCAAAGAGCAGCCTGGCTTCACTCTCCCTAAAATGAGCCTATTTGTTCTCCTAGCAGTCCATTGTATATTCAACACTCTTCTCCAGCACCATAGCTCAAAGGCATCGATTCTCTATCATCCCTAGTCAATTTATAGCTCTTGATACAAAGCAAGCAATTGCAAAGACTATGGCTTGGATCAGGTGCACCTTAGTTTACAGATTGACATCATTGCTCTTCAGGACTCTAGAAACGTCCCTGACAGCCGACTTTTTCAATGCAACTCATCTCTTGAGTTCCTGGCTGCTGGTACCAAGAGTGTTGATAGGGGAGCCAAGCAAATTAAAGCTGTTAACAATCTCAATCTCTTCACCATCTATCATAATGTAAAAAAAGGATATAAAGAAATAATTGTCTCTCCTCCAACAACTTTCACTGGATTCCCACACAAGAAATACATTTTTATTGGGTTGCCACTAAGATTTTGAGGCTGTTTATTAATTATGTTGTTGTTGTTGATTGTCATCGAGTAGAGCACGACTCATAGCAACCCTATGAACAAAAGGCCTGAAGCCTTTATATAACCATTGTATTTATTTATCAAAGTTCATAGAGTTTCAGAGGCATGTTGTTTAGGAAGTGGATGCCACTCCTGCTTCCCATCAATTATGTTACTTAGACTAATTTGTTGCTGTTGTTAACAATTGATTCTGAACCAACATTTAGCTGAGTGGGTTTTCAGAGGCAGTAAATCACATGGCAGGAGATTGCCCAAATTTCTCCCTTGGAACAGTTTGTGGATTTGAACTGTGTATCTTTGGGTTGGCAGCACAATTCCTTAGCACCAAGCCACCAGGGCTTACTTTGACTAATACATCTACACAATAAGCAGTTCAAGGAACCCTAACGGTGCAGTGTGCTAAGCACTGAGCCACTAACTAATAACTTGGGGTCTATATTTGCCTCAACATCACCTAACAACAGATTAACTGCCTATCTTCAATGTTTAGTTTTAAATATAACTAATTTATAATAAGCTAAAAGATGTCCTTATTGGTGCTGAGTTGGAACTGACTCAAGGTTTTCAGAGGCTATAAACTGCACAAGAGGAGACTGCCTTTCTTTCTTCCATGGAGCAGCTGGTGGAGTCAAACTTGCCGGCCTTTGAGTTAGAAGCATAACTCCATATCCACTAGTCCACCCAAACTTCCTTATAACTACACATATTTAAAGAACACAATTTACATATATGTACACATTTATTAAAATACTACCATAGTCAAATTAGACTTAATGAACTCACAATAATAATGAACACATCTATTAATTCCTAAATTTTCCATGTATTTATTTGTAATTTTTCCTTATATATTTCCCCTTTCCTAGTTCCCAGGCAATCACTAATCTGGTTTTTTACTGTAGATAAATTTGCATTTTCTAGAAAAATGAGACCATTGGGTATATAGTCTTTTGTCTGACTTTATCTTTTTTTGAACCACGATTTGATTTTAAGTTTACAAAGCAAATTGGTTTCTATGCAACCATTCATACACTCCTTGGTTTATAGCATTAATTATAGTATCTACAGTGTAATTAGGAAACTCTGGCAGCTTAGTTGTAAGGAGTTGTGCTGGCAACCCAAAGGCATGTGGTTCGAACAAACTAGCTCCTCTGCACGAGAAAAATAGGTAATCTCCTCCTGTGGAATTTACTGCCTCTGAAAACCCCTTGAAGAGTCAGCTATGGTTGGTTATAACTCTACACTATACAACAACACTGTAATTACAGGGAGGAATTTTCTATTTCCTACTTCTAATTTTCATTTTCACTAATCCCTCCATCCTATTCCTTCTTGCTGTTTGAGTTTTGACCATAGATGGATGATTTGCTATTTTAAGAAGTGAGTGTCTTTGTAGTGTTATTGGCTACCATATAGGTCTGCAGATTGCTTAGCTCCAAGTTGAACCAGGGAGTGAGTTTTATTCCAGGTTGGAAAGATGACTAAGGGTCAGAATCCCAGGGGTTCCACATGTTTTTATCTGCCAAAAAGCCTGGTCAATCTGTTTCTGAGTTTTGTTCCACATTTTCCCCATACTCTGCTGGTGACCTTCTAGTACAATCCCCTTTGGATTATAAAGTCAGTAGCAACATCCAGGCATCATCCAGTTCTTTTGATCTCAGGTAGTGGAATTTGAGGTCCATTTAGTCCTTTGGTTTTTATGCTTCTTTCAATGGGAAGCCAAATTTCATACCAATATTATATGAAAAACCATATGCTTATTCAGGAATTGAAGGAATCACAAATTTATAAGTTGAAACTTCTATTGTGACAGATCACAGGAAATGAGCTGTTTCCTGCAGACAGCAAGGGTCCCCCTGCAGAGGGAGTGTTAGTATGTGTGAAATGCTTCCTTCCTGTACTAAGGATCAGGTTGACAATAGAATTCTCTTTATGATTTGCTCCCCCTGATTCTTAATAAATACGAAGAGGCATGGCTTGTGGTACTTCAGTTGATTTGAACTGCTGGACTCCTGTTTTTTACGCTGTTTACTTACACATTTTTGGTGTTTTGTCTCATTATTAATTATTAATATACTTTACTCTTGATCTGCAACATTTTTCTTTCTCCTCTTCTTTTGTTCCAGGTAGGGAAAGTCCAATAGTTGTACCTTACATAGCTGCTTGTAAGCTTTTAGACTCCAGTCACTTAAGTGAATTTAGAATATTGTCTTTGTGGACTATGTTAATTGACATTATGATCTTAAGGCCTCAGGACCAGCCATTCATGTCCTCAGAGTGTTTGGTTATGACTAAGACATTTACACAGCTTTATCCCTTGTTGGCTCTGCTATAAGCATGAATATAGATATAGCATATAATAGAATATAGAAACATCTGCCAAACATATGTAGAGTCAAGGATGTACTCCTTTTAACCTGTTTATCGGTTCATCTTGCCTTTCTACCTATAAACAAGCATGCAGGTTAATGTTTACTATTATTGATACTGCAGGTTTGTGTTTACCCTTGTTGACTGTTATTTCTTGTGTACCTCTCCATGTTCTTCCTTTCTTTGGTGTTATTATGTCGACCATCCCCTCAGTACCTTTTATATTTCCTTTCAGAATATTGTTCACAAAGAATGCAAAAAGTCATTAAAAAGAAGGAAAATGAAGAAAAGACCAAAACGGATGTCAGAAGAGACTCTGAATATTGCACTAGAGTTCTGAGAAGCCAAAGCAAAGGGAAGAAATCAAGAAGTTAAGAAACTGAATAGAAGATTTCAAAGGGCTGCTTGGGAAGACAAAACAAAATAGTATAATGAAATGTACAAGGAGCTGGAGTTGGAAAACCAAAAGGCTGAATTTGCTCAGCATTTCTTAAGCTAAAATAATTGAAGAATAAATTCAAGTCAGGAGTTGCAATTCTTAAGGATGCTATGGGCAGAATATTGAATGATTCAGGAAGCATTAAAAGAAGATGGAAGAAGTATACAGAGTCACTGCACCAAAAAGAATTGGCTGACACAGAAGAATTTCAGGAAACAACATATGAGCAAGAGGTAATGGTAATGAAGAAGGAAGTGCAGGCTGCTCTGAAGGACTTGGCAAAAATAAAACCCCAGGAATTGATGGAATAACAATTAATGTATTTCAGCAAACAGATGCTGCCCTACATATGCTCACTAAGTTGTGCCAAGAAATCTGGAGGACAAGTACTTGGCCAACTGACTGGAAGAGATCGACATTTATTCCCATTCCAAAAAAAAAGGTGACCCGACAGAGTGGAAACTATTGAACAATATCACTAATATCACAAACTAGCAAAATCCTGCTGAAGATTGTCCAGAAAAGACTTAAATAGCACATTGACAGAGAACTACCAGAAATACAGACTGTGGTTAGAAGAGGTCATGGCACTAGGGATATTATTGCCAATGTCACATGAATTTTGGCAAAGAGCAGAGAGTATCAGAAGAATGTCTGGCTGTGTTTCATTGACTATGCAAAGGCATTTGACTGCGGGGGATCACAATAAATTGTGGCTAACCTTGAGGAAAATAAGAATGTCAGAACACTTTATTGTGCTTACAAGAAACCTATACTTGAACCAAGAAGCAGTCCTCAGAACAAAGCAAGAAACATTGCATGGTTCAAAATCAGGAAAGGAGTACATCAGAGATGCATCCTGTCCCCATACCTCCATACCTTTTCAATTTGTATGCAGAACGGATCATTCAAGAGGCAGGGCCTTAGGAGGAGGAATATGGCATCAAGATTGGAGGACAACTCATTAATAATCTATGATAAGCAGATGACACAACCTTGCTTTCTGAAACTGAAGAAAACCTGAAACAGTTGC